AAATGGCTACTCAATTACTCAATAATTGTTGGCTTAAAACATAGCAGTTATGACAGAATGTGACAGTTATAGCATATTTAGTTATTTTAATGTATAAAAATAAATAGAAATAGATAACATATTCATAAAATAACAAATTCAGGGAAAAGATACACTTTACCTAATAAGTTTCTTTAACATAAACTTATTAAACCAAAGGATAAAAAACTTCCAGTGACAATATTTTATGTTTACTGAATTTTTACCTGATATCCAAAAGACCAAGTTACTCTTGGTGAGTTTAGGAGCCAAAACCCCTGTAAGAGTAACTATGCAGTTACAGGAATATTACTGAAATAAAAGTGAAATATACAATGGAGTACATTTTTTTCCTTAAAGTTGCTCAAGTAAACCCACTTCTAATATGCTTTATTACTTTAATGGACTCTTAAAAACTCCCTACTTAGGCTGCATCCCTTACCTCTAGCCTATATCTTCAAACCAAAGAAGAAAAAAAAGATAAATAACAGGAAAAGTGAGTGATGGGATGTCATCCATCTCATTGCTCATTCAGGCTTGAACATCAAGCCCCAACCTCAGGCCTGCTGTACAGAGTGATGTACATCGAGAGCCTTTTGACCAGCTCTTTGGCTGACCCGTCACCCAAAACCTGTTTGCCATAGAATACCTTATAAGGAGCATTTACCCCTCTGATGACATGATCTGGGATCATTCAGGCACTGAACTCCTCCAACAGGTTAAGGTGGTGGTTCAAGCTGGGGTTAAAGTGTCTTGGGAGAGGGAAGTACAGACGTTTCTCCTGATACAGCTGCCCTCACAGCCTGGTACTGGGAAAAATGAAAGTGAAAATGAAGGTGAATTTTCCGTAAATCAGATACATTGCTGTTCAATGTAAAAGTTTTTGTGTGTGTATTATTAATAATTTACTTAAATGTATTTTAACACCTGGTTTAAATCTAAGGTAAAGTAAATATATCCAGTTATTAAAACAGACCTTTTCTGTTGCTCCACATATGTGAAAAATGCTAAATATTATCACCAATCTGAGGAGTTTTTATTCTTTTAAGGCAGGCCCAAAGTCGGTCCTGGAGGGCCGCTGTTCTGCAGGTTTTAGAGGTTTCCCTGCTTCAGTGCAACTGATTTCCATCCATAACTGATTTACAGGCCTCTGCTGAACTGCAATTATCAGAGTCAGCTGAGCTGAAGCAGAGAAACCTCTAAAATCTGCAGGAAAGTGGCCTTCGAGGACCGACTTTGGGAATAGCTGTTTTAAGGTTACCATTGCTGTGCTCTGAGAAGGAGAAAAAAATTAAGTAACTGATATTTAACCCGTCATTATCAATGTATTGGATTTTAGCTGCCATGGTTTGGGAATTCTCATATATCTGTAATTGTGTTGCCTCTCCTTTTTCCATTGTTTTATTTTCTGCAGTTTTTTTTTTCAGATTTAAAGCTGTTTTAGTTCATGCTGCATCAGTACCAGGACTTTCTATGGGAATAGATGCTGTATCCCTTCTCGGCTAAATAAAAGCTTTTTAATTATTGATATGTTTTGCATCAGATTCGTTTGGAGCAATCTGCCTTCCAAATACAGGAAGCAGTGACTAAAGAAGGATTTGCAGTTTCCTTATCAGCTCTTGTCATTTCTTTCTTTGTGGGCCTTACTTATAGAAAGTCTGGCAGCTGCTCAGCACTTGTGACTATTGATAATTGTAGGAACAGAGAGAGATGTCAGATTGTATAAAAAATTGCTTCATTTGGCGTTCCCTAACAATGATTTGCATAAAAAAAACCTAATAGCTGTGAAAATCTCATTAAGATCCAAGATTACAGCTAAAATGATTGCTCTTGGGACTTTTTCCCTCTGAAATTACATAACACAAAACTTTTCTCTTTTAATAAGTGGTACTGCATTAGTAAAACAAGACCTCGAGCTACCTTTGTCTTAATGCCTTGCTAATTACTGGTTCTTCTGCCTGGCCTGGAAATTTTTTCAGTTGCTATTATTGGGTGTTGGCTTGTTTCCTAATCGGGTTGCCCCTCTGGACTACAGCATCCATCCATTTAGAAACAATACTCTGCCTCCGCCTCCTTCTGATTCTCCTTTACTAAAGCGCCTGCATCCATTTGCCCATTTGCGCTGCTCATCTGCTGCCGGATTCAGCTAGATTCATTTTCTGCGGAGGGAAATTGGTGTGCTGATTGGCCTCTTTGCTCATGGATTAGCCATTAAAAAGCTGTTAGTGACTCTCTGACTATATCAGCTCTATGCAATAATCGCAGCAGAGATAAGGTCATTATTACAGTCTGTGCAGAGAGGTTAAAATCTCCTTTGAACTCTGCTTGTTTTAAATTGGTGTATATGTCTGAGGAAGGCAATGGACAAATAATCACCCCACCCCTGAGATGTCCCTGCTATTGAGTTTGTATCGTCTTATTATAAGAAGCATTGAGGTCTTCAGAGTTTGCTTTCTTTTTTCTGTTTGCATACAGTTGGTAGATTTAGTTTTACCATGGCGCATATTCAGCTGAAAGCAGATTTTAGTGATCTTGGTTATTTTGGGAGAAGGAAGACAGTGCCAGTGTCGTTTCTTGAGCTCTTCACAAGCCAGCAGGCAGCACTGTACAATACAGTATTTCTGCTTCGTAATTAGCTGTGTAGGAGGAAGTGAGATGAAATGAGGGGAAGGTAGAAAAAAAAGAGAAAAAGGCTCCTGAAATCTTTTGTTAGTACCGATTTATCCAAACACCAAGAGACCAGGACACCCTCAGGGTCAGCTGCAGAAACCGTGCACTTTTACTATGCCCTGATATTTGTTAATCATCTTTTTCTATTTTTTTTTTCTTCCCCCAGCACCTCCCTAAAGGTAGAAAGCACATTACCCTCAGCTTATGTGACTGACTGATCCGAAACAAAGCTAATAGGCCTACGTTTTGGTAGTGAGGCTATAGGTCTAATTAGAAACTGTGACAGCAGAGCAGATTGCACTGGGTCTGAGGCGAGGTTTGCCATAGCAAATAAGAAAAGGTCTTTCTGCAAGCCGTGCTGAGCTGTTTAAGCTCTGAGGGGTGGGGGTGGGGGGGGCAATTTGCACAGCCTGGTGGCTTTTTTGTTTTGCTATAAACATTAAATGTCAGAGAAACCTCATGTTCAAACCACCGGTCCTCTATACCTGCACATACCGACATTCCATTTCTTTCTACCAATACGACAATAGTGATTTAAAGATAAGTATTTAAACATTTTCCACATATACAGTAAAACCACAATGTAAACTTAAAAACGAGAAAACTTGTATTCACTCCTTTGTGCCAGTGGTCTTATGGTCTTTTGCTGTATTTACAGCTGCAAGTCCTGAAGGGTATACATATTTATCTTGTATTCTATCCCTTTTATTCTTTAATTTATAAAGCAGCTAACATCCAGTCCCAGAGAAGCACTATCAGGCAACTTTTAGCTGTATGTCCTGTTGTGCAATTTCACAGATTTGATTATGATTTCATTAAAAAACTGTAACTAGAGGTCATAGTTAATTGATAATTTTTTTCATCTCAAATTTTCTTCTTCGAAGAGGGATGCTGTCCATTTTTCCAGCAAAATGGACCACAGTTCTGGAGATTGCACCAGATTGTAATGTGCAGTCTGGTTTTAAAGGGGTCGCAGGGGGCGTGGTTCAGGAAGTGATATCATAAAGATGGGCTGGTGAAAACACAGCCGCAACCTGATCACTAACAGTCACGTTGTATTTCTGATCAGTAACACTTTCCTGTGCAGAAAATCCCTTCATCTGATTTAGAACCTGCTAGAACTTTAGGCCCAGTTTAAAGTCTTCTGCAGCCTATAACAAGTTTTCTTCCAATTTGTTTCTGCATTAATTTTCTTGTATCATACCAATAACTCTGTCAAGCTTTGATGTAACCTCTAAAGAATTGCATCCCCACCTCATGATGCTGCCACCACCATG